AGGGCTTGCAGCTATGACCCCAGGTCGTTCTGTTGAACTGAACACACACATACTGCTCTTTAAATGAAAGAGCATCCAGACCGTGTGACAGAGTGCTGAAGTCAGTCGCTGAGTCAGTCATCAAACCTGGGTTAGTCTCAGGCAACCTCTACCACTAACAAGGTGCTAAATCCCACAAGCTTTGATTTCTACCTTTGTAAAATGGGACTAAGAATTCCCTAATTCCCACCCACCCCACAGCCCAGGTTGCTGTGAGATGAAACATGTCCAAATGGAGAGCATTATTCATGGAGGAAGCTTGGGCCACATCCTAGAATCCAGTGCGGGGGAATTCACTAGGAATATTCCTTGGAGACCACACCACTTCCCCCACGACTGTGCCTGGTATACCAAAGCAGAGAAAGAAAGAGGAGGGAGAGGATCATAAGCATTGCATTTTCTTCTTCTCATTTACAGAGATCCACCCTTCTCAGGGTGCAGTTTGGAGGATAAGGCAGGAATGGGCTCTGGGATCACAGACCTCCCAAGAGTCCATGTAGCCAGCAGGAACTCTTCTTTAATCTAACGAAGCACGGGAATCCTCGGAGGTGGTGCAAATACACATTAGCCAGTGGTATTTCGTCCTGGCAGCAGTTCATCGTTAGATGGCCAGCTACCAGGTGTCAAGGGAGCCCCAAGTTTTCCTTTTGCCTTGGGCCCCATGATTTGTAAATCCAGTGCTGGCATTTTGGTAGAAACACCCAGAAGGAGTTCTCTGGGTCTAGCTGCAACAGAAGAGTATATTACAGATATTCACAAAACGATGACTTTTCCAATAGGTTTTTAATGCCAAACATATGTACTCCTTGCCGAAATTCAAGTGTTTAGCAGATTCTGAGATTTCACTTCAACTACCCCAGCTGGCGTCCGACACATTCCACAATTTTTCTTCTACTTGATAACATCTATTTTTAATCCCTTCAGATGCCTTTCTTTTTGGCAAATTGGGAGGAGAGAGTGCCTGTCGCTCCGCATCTTTCAGTTCGTATTTTGCATAAATCAACCAGGAATTAAGAATTAAACAATCACTTCATATCTTAGTTGTCAAATATTTCACTGTTGGGAGATGCATTTGCATATCTGAAAACATGTTGGCCTCTCGGTATGTCAGGGATGTGGAGAATATATAAAGAAACTCATTGGGATACCGATGAGAACAACAGCAAGAAAGTGATTTGGGGCCAGGTAGTCAAGGAAGGTAGCAAGTCCACGTAACCAGATGAGGGGGAGGGCCTGACCTCCCTGGTTATTCCGGTCAACACTGACCTATGTCAGGTTCCCCAGAAGCAGACCCAGAACAAGAGTTTGGATAGAAAGGGTTTCCTTGGGGGGCTATCCAAGCAGTACCTCAAGGGCGTGGGGAAGCGAAAAGGGGAAAATGAGGAAGCCAATGCTTCCTCATCCATGAACAGGCAACTGCTATCAGCAAGTCAATCCTGAAGGAGACCTCTGGGGGATTACAGAGCACACTCCAGAGATGTCCTACCCACGGGGTCAGCAGGTGAGGTATTAACCCCAGACTCCTGCCCGTCATTACTTTCCATCTACCCCTGTGGGTGTTAACTTCTTGCATGTCCAGGCTGCTCAGTTCAAAGAGAACACAGGCTTATGGCCCTATGGTTCCCAAACTAGGCACCGAGGCACCCCAAGGTGCCACAGAAAATTCACAAGAGAGGCTAGGGATACTTTAAATATTTGAGGGAAACAAGGCGACATCTATCCAACACTGTGTGAGCTATTAAGGTGAGATAACTCAATGGTATGGGTTGATTTGTGCTCCCCCCACCTCAAATTCATATGTTGAAGTCTTAACCCCCAGTACCATAGAATGTGACCTTATTTGGTTGAATACCTCTAGTGCTGGGGAGCTCGTTCTCTCTCTATGGAACATACCCTCTCTTAGAAAAGGCAAATAGCATACCTCGAGCCCTTACTGGGTACTAGGTTCTATACATTCATTATTTCACTTAGTGCTCCCACCTGTATAAGGTGGGCATGACCATCACTATTTACATATGTGGTGAAATTGAGACTTGGAAGAGTAAAATCCCTTGACCAGGATCTCATTACCAATAAATGGCAGAGCCAAGATTCGAACACATGTCTTTTCAATTTCAGAGCCTTTTCTACTTGGAAATGTTACATGGCTCTGACAGGTGGGTGTTAATAACAAAAGACATAAGACATTTACTGAGCTCTTCCTTTTTTCTAGGCCTGGTGCTTCACATGGATTATCTGTTTGGTTTTCCTCATAGTCCTATAAGATTATCACTGGGGCTGCTCAGCAGCCAAGTCAGTCTGGCCCCAGAGCTTATGCCTTTTATTTATTTATTTATTTATAAATATTTTATCTATTTATTTTAGAGAGAGAGTGAGTGAGCAGGGGGAGGGGCAGAGGGGGAGGGGCAGAAGGGGAGAGAGAGAGAGAATCTGGAGCAGTCTCCGCCCTGAGCACAGAGCCCGATGCAGGATTCAATCCTATGACCCAGAGATCATGGATCTCATGACTCAACTGACTGAGCCACCCAGGTGCCCGGAGCTTATGCCTTTTAAATGGTAACCCTGCTGTGTATTTCCTCATATTGAGCCTAAACCCTCTTCCTATTCTCTGGACGCATACAGAGCTAGCAGAGTCCTTCTTCACCAAGCCTGCCCCTCAAAGCTGCATGAAGACAGCCCTTTGTCTTTCTGTTCAGAGCTGAATATTTTCCATCTTGTCTCACTTTCTCATCCCAACTCATCCCCAGCCCCATCTACTGAACACAGCTCAGTTTATCTGCATCCTTCTGAAAGCACTTGCTGATTGCTTAATGCTGCCCACAAAGGAAACAGGAGGACCAAAACTTCCTGTGAAAGGGAAGGTCAGACTGTGTCTTCAGACGATGGTGAAAAAAATTATGACTTCCAAGCATCGGCGTCTGGAGCTGTGTGGCAGGGCATTTTGTATTTGTTGGAGGGTCATCTTGCAGCTGATGCCTTCTAAAGAGAAACTGAGGTCATCGCATGGCCAAGATGACATCATAATCCTCAGCAGCTCAAGGTTTAGAGATAAAACATGAATCAGATTGATTCCGTGTGAAATAATGCCAAGGATAAAGGATGCCAATTGGAACATGTGCAGTATATCTTCCACAAGCTGAGAACCTACCCCATAGGGTTATTGGAAGAATTAAATAAATTAATGTATGGAAAGTGCTTAGGAGAGCACCTGGCATGGAACGAATGATCAATAAATATTAGTATTAATATCAGCTGTGAAATGAACACTGCATGTAAAAATGAGTAATTCTTTCTGGAGATGAGATGTCAGGAAATAATAATAGTTGCCACTAGGATTCTTTATATGCTCAGCCTTTACATATATTATCTGTTTTAATCCTTGACAACCTGTGGAAAAGTTATTTCCCCCTTTCTAAAGATATGGAAGCCAAGGCTCAGGAAAGTTAGGCATCTTATCCTGGGTCATGAAGCTAAATGGTTAAGAACTTGGGTTTTAGACTCAAACAGGTCTGGCTTTTTTTTTTTTTTTTTTTAAGATTTTTATTTATTCTTGAGAGACAGAGAGAGAGAGAGAGAGGCGGGCTTCCCGAGAAGCAGGGAGCCCCATGCGGGACTCGATCCCAGGACCCCAGGATCACAACTTGAGCTGAAGGCAGATGCCACCCAGGCACCCCAAGGCTTTTTTTTTTTTAATTTTAAGATTTATTTATTTATTTTGGAGAGAGAGAGTGAGCGCAGGGGGTAAGGGCAGAGGGAGACAGAGAATCTCAAGCAGACTCCCTGCTGAGCGGTGAGCACAGACTGTGTGGGCCTCCACATGGGGCTCAATCCCACCACCCCAAGATCATGACCTGAGCGGAAATCAAGAGTCCAGCGCTCAACCGACTGAGCTACCCAGGCGCCCCAAACAGGTCTGGTTTTGAGTCCCAACTCAGGAGCTTTCTGTGTAACCTAAAGCATGTCATTCAATTTCTCTGTGCCTCAGTTTCCTAGTCTGTTAAATAGGGTAATAAAATACTTTCCTTAAAGATGTGCTATGGGGAGTGAGTCAATATATGTAAAATACTCAGAGCAATGTCTAGCACATTCTAAATACTCATTAAATGTATACATGTATGTGGAGGGGTTTTGAAGTATGCATAGGAGTTTGTCAGGTGGAAACAGGAGAGAAATAGGCATCTCAAGTTAAAGTAATTGTGGGGCTAAAGGCACACATTTCACTACCCAACCTAAGGCACAAGAAATCACTAGTGGGTTAGTGGCAGGACAGAGCAGAGTTTGGAAGGAAGGAGTTGCTTGTAGTTAGGTGGAAAGAAAAGGTCCTCAGGTCTAAGAGGAGAAATAGGAGTTTGGAGAATGTGGCTCCCTGGTTAGTCCCAGCTCCCAGCCACCATCCCAGCTGCTCCGTAGAGTTCGTGACTCCGCCCCCACCAATCCCAGCCAATGAGGACGCCCTCCACTGCGTCTCGTTGCCAGGCAACTGAGTTGACCACTGCCTGGCAGTTAGCTGGCTTTCTCTACCTAGCAGTGGAAACCTGAGTCTCACGCCTGGGCCACCTTAGGGAAGGGGGCTGGTGGCCCCTCTGTGGGCCCCCTTCAGATTTTGTCAGTGGAGTCTAATTTTTTTTGTTGTTGTTCGTATTTTATTTTCGTTTGTAGTACAGAAAGATATCCCCTTCCAAAGAGGGGAAAGCTCGTGAAAGTTTGTAACTTTCTAAAAACTGAGTAATTCCGGGCTTGCCTAATTCCACCCCCTCTGGACTTCCTTATTCTGTTAGTGGGAAACCCAGATGAGTTGCTTTCCTTACTCCTTGGTCAGAAGCCTCTTTGGAGCCTGTGTGATTGGCTTTGGGAATCAGGAAGAAATTGCTGGAGCCTCTCACACCAGTGGCTGCTGAAGTAGAAGATTCTGGAAAAACCCCTCTTTGAGGAGCGCAGGCTATGCCTGAGGGATTTCCAAGATGACCAAGATACCAGCCACCAAGAAGATGCAGAGTGTCCCCAACTCGGGGGCCCTCTGGCCCTTTTCTGTCTCAGAACATCTGACACAGGTAGGTCTCCCCTCTCTGCCGAAACCAAGCATGTTTTCAAGACCAAGTGAAATAGAAATTAGCCTTCAAGCCAACAAGGGACAGGGGAAGAGAGAAGTCCTGGTGTAATTAAATTGTCGAGACACATCCCTGCTGCTATCAATGGTTGGTTTCTCGTAAAGAATGAAAACGCCAGGCAGAACACTGAGCTGGGCCATTCTATTAGCCAGTAATTCCAAAATGATAGAATAAATCAGCAGTGACACTGTAGAACATCAGAAAAAAATTAAGATGAATTGTAGGCTTGCCATTGCAGAAATTATTTTTGGAGATCCATTGGGCTCGAGATACGGGCACATCCCCTCTCTTACGGAAAGACTTCAGAGTCAAACTTTCAGTTCTGAAGCCTGACTCTGCTACTCGCCAACTATTGATAAAAGACAGGTTGCTTAGCATCCCTGAGCCTTTATTTCCTCGTGTCTGCAAATGAGACCAGGAACATCAATTAGGCAGAAACAGTGTTAGGACTAAGGAAGCTATGGAAATTGGTTAGCAGGACGCTAACACTTGATAGTGTGTATATATGACATAAAATTCTGTTGTTGATTTAAAAAAACAGAGAAAAATCATTAATATGTACTGCATGACCACAGTCAAGTGTTTCTGTTTTCAAATGATCATTGATGTAGGAAAGATGTTATTAGGGTTCGAAGCCGACAGCCAAGAAAGTCTTGAGGCGTCTTTGGTGCAAAAAGGTGATTTTATTAAAGCACGGGGATAGGACCATGAGGAGTGGCCCATTATATACTTTCAAGTTGGGAGGGGGTGAGGAATAGCGGAAGTCTCTAAGGAATTTTGCAAGCAAGGTTTCGAGGACCTTGAGGGGGCTAGCTATTGTTGGGAAAAGGTCATTTATTACCGTCTAATAAAACCTTAGTCATGAGACCCTTCAGATGTATATCGATGGGCCATATACTTGAGGGATGACTGCCAACACGTAACTTGGAGGGTTTAGAGATAAAGGAAGTTTCCGAAGGAATTCTTACACGTTAAAGTAGACTTACAGGATCCTGGGGGGTTGGGGGAGAGGTGGTCAGGCTAGGACTGCCTTTTGCCCTTGGCAAAGTATTAACATTGAGGCAGTTGAATCCCTAGAGGAATGTCACTCCCTGTTTCAAGGACTTGTCAATGGGCTGTAGGTAGTAAGGAAATTTAATAATTTTTCTTCTGCCTTTGTTTCCCACATCAGTCATAACTGGGTAGGCCCGTTCTGTCTTTGTTAAGTGTGTCTTTGTTAATTGTATTCACACACTGCACACTGTATGTCACCACTGATTGGCTAAGGTAGGGGAACAGTGGAAAGGAGAGTCACAGGCAACCCCAGCCCACTGTGGCGTATCTTATGGCTCAGAGTCCTGCCCCAGAAAGGAGGGCCTAGGGAGAAATCGGTGCCCAAAGGAGAGCTTAAAATTCACCCCTGGTTCCCTGGTAGTCCAAAGTGTTTCTGAGCTTCTCCCTTCTAAGAATTAACACATCTGTAAGCACCCCTCATTGTTCAGCATTCTTAGTGAGGTCACTCTGCAAGATGCAGTCTGTATGTATCTCCTTTCATCTCAAAATGCTACACAGAAGTGAGTTCCATCTGGAGCAGTCCCCTCTGGGACTGAACTTCTTTAGCAATGGGGGGAGAGAATGAGGAGCGAAGTGTGCTTTTAGGAAGCAGAGGGGAGTGTGAGAGCTTGGGCAGTGGACCCAAACAGCCTGGGTTTGAACCCTGGATCTGCCCCTTAGCAGCCCTATGACCTTGGGCAATTTGCAGAATGTCTCTGCTTCTGTGTTACCATCTGTCAAAGGGGGAATCTCATTGTGCCTTCTCTTGACACATAGCAAACCCTCCCTAGAATTTAGTTACATTGTTATTTCATCCATTTAGCAAACATTTATGGAACCCGTTACTGCTAAACACTTGCTCTTGTAACGAATGGGACTTGATCTTAAATATTTCATGATCTATAGTGTATATGTTTGGGATGAGAAGTGAAGGACAAGAAATAGGTAATTATAATGCTGAGTAAAAAGCATCGTTGGGTATTGTGAGAATTCAGAGAAGGACAGCTAACTTGTCTGCGTGTGTTTGTGTGTGTGTGTATGTGTCAGATTTGCGGAGGGAAGAACCCATGTACCCGAGTAAATGCAATAGAGTTTTCCATCTTGGGATGGAGAGATGAAGAAAGTAGAGGAAGGTACACAGGTTGGAATGGCCATGTCTTTCTTGGGAAGAGGGTTGGTGGAACTCAGGAAGGTCAAGGAAAGGGAAGGCGGTTTGCAGGGAACCGTTGGATAAACTAAGACTTCAGGCACAAAAGCTTCCTTGAAATCCCGCTGCCCCTGCCCCACTTTCAAGGAAATAATGAAGACTCTAGGGTGTCACTGGCTCACATCTGAATTAGCATGCTTTTAGAAATTGCAACTTTTTAGAGCTACTGTAAAGCATTGGTTAACCTAAACAAAGCTAACTAGAAAGTGACAAACCACAAGAAAATGTGTACAGATTAGGAGCAACTTCTGGCGTCAAACCAAATCAAACCAATTATAATTGCAGCAATGTTAATAACAGTGGTAACAGTTGGCACACCTTGAGTATTTACCATCTGCCGGATTCTGAGCTAGATCTTTCAGAACCACCTGCAACACTTCAAGGTGAGCTGTTACCTCCTCACAAGAAGGATGGCAACATGGAGAACCAGGGAGAACAGATCCCTTATCCAAGGATACTGACCAGCAGGGAACAGATTTGAACTTGGATCTGTCTCCAGGGTTGAAGCACTCCCTGCCTCCCCATGCTAATCAAGCAGTGAGAGAGAGGTTAGCATGCACCACAGGGGGATAGAAAAAGAAGGTGTAAGTGCAGTCATTGGCTTCAAATCGCTTTCGGGTTTACTGGGGGGCAGGGGGTGCCACATAGAGGATGACAAATCCCAGGCAGCCTGGTAAGCATCCACTGAGGAGTGACTGAGGAAGGAGCTGGTTTCTCAGAGAAGGGTGAGGCCACACTGGGCTGCATGGTAATACCACCGACTACGGGTCCACCATGCCCTAGTGTAATGACACGTGGGGGAACCCCCCCCACCCCGAAAGGGTCCTGAAGCCCTCTGAAGCTAGGCATTTTCCTTCTTACAGGATGGAAGGTGCTACAGGGTAACTAATGTTGCAATGGCACCCTGCCTTGCACAGTCTTCATGTAGTTTTTATTTTTATTTTATTTATTTATTTATTTTTAAAGATTTTATTTATTTATTTGAGAGAGAGAATGAGAGATAGAGAGCACGAGAGGGAAGAGGGTCAGAGGAAGAAGCAGACTCCCCGCTGAGCAGGGAGCCTGATGCGGGACTCGATCCTGCATGACCTGAGCCGAAGGCAGTCGCTTAACCAACTGAGCCACCCAGGCGCCCTTCACGTAGTTTTGTAAAAACATGAATAAGATATGCAAATCCTCTGCTGGAATGTCTTTTGTTGAGGAAACCTTGCAGCCCGCCCCCCCCCCATGTTGGGCTCCCTAATCTTTGAGGGAGTTCCTTTTCCCTTTGTTTCCCAAGGAAGCAAAAGAGAAGACTAACAGGATTAGCCATGGGGAAGGGAGGGGATCAGGGCATGTACAGATTACCAGGAACACATTTTCTTCCTTGAAAGGGGCTAAAAAAAGAGAGGCACTTAGCACACACCACCTCCATGTTCTAGAATGGAAATGCAGAAATGGCATTTGGCAAAAATTATAAAGCTGTGGAATCCTTTAGACAAGCTCTGTCTCTCGGTGCCTGAAGTTTCTACCACGCTGTCATTAAAACCCAGAGAAAAAAGAAGCAACTCTAATTTGGGCAGATCCTGAGACAGCCAGGATTCATACTTGGCACTCTGTTCATATCCTAGCTTAGTGTTAAAAAGATTCTTCAGCAAACAACGTGAGTTCAAACCCCAACTTTGCCACTTACCAGGTTGTGTGGCCTTGAGCAAATGAGTTACCTGAGCCTCAGTTTCCACATCTGTGATAACGGGCACATCGCATTTTATCTAATTTAAGACACCTTCCATTTCAAGATGCGTCATAATCTTTTTGTGCCACTAAGAAAGAAAACTCTACTGATTAAACTATAACCTACTTTCAATTATAAGATATGCCCCAGTTTCAGAGATGCTAAATGTGGAAAGGAAACGTGCATCTTAGAATAGATGAAACAGCTAAAAGTGCTCCCCTGTCGTAGGGTGTTGTGGGGATTAGATGAGCTGATATGGGTAAAGCTCTTAGAACAGAGCCTGGCTCAGAGTAAATACTATGAACTGTTAGCCAGTATGGCTTTGTTTAATCCTCTATTGGCTCTGTGATAGAGGTGTTCTTATTAACCCCTTTAGTACCTGGGTAGACTGAGGCTGGAAGAGCTCCCAGGTCTAGTTCTCTGCCAAGAGGGGAGAAGGGGGCAAATTAAGCAGAATCCCAGGTATAGAGAAGACCTTGGCCTGAGCATCTCTGCCCCCCCCCACCCTGCCCTCCAGCCTCCACCCCTGTGCCCGCCCCCCACCCCTGTATGAGAACAGAAATGCCCAGAGAAGGTCTTAGGGATCCAGCCCAGTTACACACCGAGTTGGGCTGCCTGGAATCAGAAAAGGAGAACGAAGGTATTTTAGAAAGCGATCCCCCAACAAGAGAAACCTGGAGTCTCAGCATAAGTCGTTCCTAGCCGCAAACATGAAGTGATTTTCCTTCTTGTCCAGATAGGAAAAACTGGGGCCTGAAGAGGTAAGTGGTGAGTCATCGCCCGTCTTTGTTGGAAGTGGCCTCAGCGCTGGTTGATTTCTCTGGCCTCTAATCACAGAGACCACGCCCCCTGCCCTGAATCACTGATTACGCTGGGGGGAGAAAAAAAGAAAGAATAAAAGCTCTCCGGACCACTTGAGATTCAATTCTGAAGAATCCCACCGGCTGCACCTTCATTTTTTATACGACTCATGACTTAGGCCAGGGAAAT